ATAGCGCCTCCCCGGCCTGGATCAGGAAGAGGACCGTCCTGGTTTTTGGTAAGTAAGAGTCTAACAGGGATCTTAGGAGCTGCGTAATCGTTACCGATTTCGAAATAAATGTTTCGGATAATATCGGATAGAGGCGGAGCGTAATTGTGTCTATTTGTGATACGTTATTGAAATTATCCGAAACTAACGGATTATCAGAAAATTAAATGATTTCATATCCGTATCCGTAACCGTATCCAGTATAAAGTCATTCCTATAGCTGGTTTACATTCAGCACTGTTCAGCATTCCGTTGCAGTCAGTAGGTCTGACACTTGCTCTAGTCTCATCAAGGACGGTAGACATTCGATGATTTTCCCCCTCAAAAATAGATACTAAGTCCTACTGCCTTTGCCTCGTGACTTGCCTCGTTCTTCGAGTGATTTTTTTACTTTTTTTATTTATCTATCGTTGGAATAGGTATTAGTTCTACGATTCTTTTTACGAGATTGGAAATCATTTTTTTTTTTAATAAAGAATGATTGGAATCTATCAGATTCACCTGCTGGGACGCAATCAGCGCCGCCCATGGGCACTCAAAACATCAGGGAAGTTCTAAGTGCGTTTCTGTCTTTTCGGGTTAAGGGATCCGAGGATGGGGGATGTAGAAATCCTCTATCATATGGGTGCATAGAACAATAACTAGTGAAAGGTCATCTTCGTGATCCTCTTCTACAATTAGACACGTATTATCCATGTTATGTAAAATAACTTCTTTAGAAACAAATGAAGGGCAACAAAATAATAAAATGGTGTAAAAATAAAAGACCTTCGATTAATGAAACAAATATATTTCATTATGAAATTAATTACCAACAAATCCATTTTCAACACGTTTTCAAACCATTTTCAATATGATAGGGAAATGTGCCTTTTTTATAAGTGCCAAATATTCATTTAATATGCTTTACAAGTGCGGCTTCTGTTAATGTGAATGAGATCATTGCAATATTTAACAACATAAAGCGGGCGAAGCGACGCGACACGACACGACACGACGCGACACGACAAGTCGCCCAACACACCACCAGAAGCGACACTTACACCGCTAAAAATTTTACGCCTAATGGTAACACTACAACACACATATTTATTGCACATTTAGAAATTTCGTAAAGTGTTTTTGTCTTTTTTTTACTTATTTTTAGAGATCCAAGACATTTACTATAATTTTGCACATCGATATTAAAATGAAATAATATACACAATAGCATAGACTGTGGTATAATACACATCCAAAATATGGAACTATGCCTAAGTTAGTTTGGACAATGGACAAGATATTATAAATTAAATGGACTATTTTATAGACGAATAGTCGTATTGCAAAATAAAAATCTTGAAAACAAGTAATAGCTAATCACGATAAAAATATAAAACGATCTGTATAACAATAATAATTATCTGAAGTATACAAGTAAAAAAAATATATTATGTAACAGTATGTATGTACTATCAACTAGGTTTCGGATAAACTGACCCAAGACATAAATTAATCTGTCAACAAAAACCGTTCGTCGAAGGAATACATAGACTATTGACATTTAGAACATATTCGCATCTAGTGCCCGCCAGTGGAACAGACTACAACTGGAAGTGCGTAATATTCCAAAAAGAAACCATTTAAATACTTTCTTTGTCCGGCTCTTCTTATTTTAACACGTAAGAAAGTTATGTTATTATATACATACAATTTATTTTAATAAGGCCATAAAACAATTTACTCATAATATTTCAGTATCGTTTGAGAGCCAATACTTCTGACCAGCCAAAACCTAATGAAAATTTACTAACTAGCATTCTCTGCATTACGTTTAAATACATTAACGATCTCGCCTTATTATGAAAGGTAATAAGACTTGGACGTATTTATAAGAAATAATTAATTAAAAAACCTACAATCGTTTAAAACTTGCACCGCCACGTCGATGGCATTTGGTCGACTTAAATCTCATAGAAATAAATTAAAAAATTGAAAGTTACAAACATTAAAATTGTGGAATGGTTACACCATCGAAGTCTTACGAACACAATTCCTAACATTATGGATACTTTGGTTTCTAGGAGACACATTCGACCAACCACATGACACCTTTAAAATACTGGATAAAATAAATCCTTATGTAATTACCTAAACCAAGTTATTGCTGATGTGGGTATACCGTAGTGTAATGTGTCTATATTTATTATCTATGGAAGCTTCAATAAATAAAATGTCTCTGAAGAACAGTTTCTATCACATATCATTACACATTGTAGCACCACGCGTTTAATAGACCCATCTACATATGTCTACACTTACCTCTATTCATTGTTGTAAATGGAGATGTATAAAAATCAATACATCTGAAAAATAATTTAAGATTGGTATATAAAAGATTCTGTATAATTATGTTTAAAAATTAAATAAACTCTCTTATTGTTTTATGTCGTAAGCTATTGAGACTGTGTTTTGGCTTGTTAAACATTTTTAAATCAACACCTATTTATTAATATTACTTATTGACTGTGAAACTTCTGGCCTACTTTACTTCTACCCGAAAATCAGTCTATCTACATTCGATCGTCGCGTCGTTGGCTGTTGAGAGGCGGTGGTATCCGCCAGCCCCTTCGTTGCTTCCTCGTTAAATAATATCACATGCTTACCCGCCCATAATCCCCAGCTACTCGGTCCTACAAGTTGTTTTTAGTTGCATGTGGTGACAAGTGTCGCGAAGGACGCAGCCTCGGGTCGGCTCATACACTCGTACTACGCTTCCTTGTAACAGACTCCCACAAATAAAGCTCGGTACAGACAGAATGACGTGACCGCTTGCCTCATAAATAACAAAACCCACCAGATAACTTGAGCTACACAAGAACGTCACTATGTTACTCATATTCTCCTATTGCAGTACGTAAACATGTAAAAACTTGTAATAAATAGTCGTTGTATCAGTATTTTGTAACCGTTATCCTATAGTATCTATTGCAACAATATGGTCAAATAATAAATATATAATAGAACAATAGAAATTTGACACTACAATGCCATCAGTCGGTGAAAAGAATGAAACAAGACACACAATATTTAGTGGACGGAGATAATATATAAAACGTTTTAAAAAGTGTCAAAATTGTGCGTCACTGTAACACTGCACGTCCTTACATTATTCCACATCGGCGCAATCTTACTTCTCTATTCTCCCTTCATGGAAGTTCTCTTAACATGAAGACTATTAAAAGTAGTACAATAAATAATGCCCGTTAACCTCACAGTCGACGATAAAATAGGTATAATGAAATCGTTCAAAAATATTATATGCCCACTTCTTATACCAGAACTGAAGACATGGTACACCTTCAACTAATAATGGTAAAATGTTCTCGTTTGAAATTCTTTACAGTTCTTAAAGAAACGAAAAATCACTTAAATTCTAATTTATCACATTTGACCTGGTTAGCACATGCATATTTACATAACGATTGCTGTGCTCACTATATTTTTAGAATCTGATTTAAAATTAAATTATCTAATATATATTAGAGTTAAAATGTATGTTACAAGAACAGATATAAAGAATACCACACCAATTTTAACACTACGAGAATTCAAAATAATGAACCACTCAAAGTAAGTGCGACATCATGGAACACCGAACGACTTTATTTAAATTTTAAACTGGCCATTGACACACAGCGGACATAGACACAAGACTAACATTAAATACTTTGAGTGGTTTATGACCTTAAACCTATAAGACACTAAATTACACCACAACATCAAGTAACTACCGCTGATATACTTATAAAAACAGTCAACATCAATTTTGAATAATATTTATATTTTAAATTTGAAGTAATGGCAAAATATCTACATTATACACAATGTGAATGCATTACATTGTTTTATTTTATAGAATTGTATAAACTCGTCGAGAGTGAATACGAAAACTGGCTGGGAAACACTATTGGATGGCAATGTTCACATACTTGTAGCTAACCAGCCATGTTTTATAAAAATCGAACTATGTCAATAAATTGTATTAGTCGAGTCTCCGTATTCGCTCCTCTAGCAATTAGAGTATTCTGTAGTAAAAATAAAAATTCAGAGTATTGCTTCTCGTTTATACTAAAAGTTTTCGACTACCTATCTTATTTATTATATCCCTCTGGCAAAGTCACTATTATATTTTAATACGTTATTTAACTGTATCGTGTATAACAATGAACAAATAAAACTATAAAAAAATCTTTAAAATTCACATTTAAAACCGGCTTATGTTAAAAGTACTAACTAAATCATTTATTCTATATTAAAATGTTTCGTTTAACATTTCCTGTACCTGATTATTTCGTTGCATTGACTTCTTATATAACAGTGGTATATATAGGCGTTCTATGGACACATTTTGACAGTTTTAAGAGTTGCGAATATCCGCCCGCAGGGTTATTCAATAAAAATAGTGTGACTATATGGCACAGACGGCAGCAAGTCAACATGCTCTAATTTATCAAATTTCTTCAATAGACATTCAACTTTAATACAAACCCATAAAGTTGAAAAGTTATTTGACAAATTGGTGAAGGTTGATCTACTAACGCCTGTACATAAACAGCATTTGACTTATCCTAGACTTAATTGACAGTATCTTTATAGTTATAGGCTCATTTCCGGACCAATATATAAATGAATCATTAACTATTTTAAAGAAGAATAAAGCTCTTAGTTGTACATTAATTAAAATATGAGGTTTTAATAATAATATTGAAAATGTTTAAAATATTTTTGATTGTTGATTTGTATCTGAATTTATTCCAGAAACAAAGCAATAATCAAAATTTTATTTGTAAGACTTTAAAAGGAATTGTATTCATTTTGGGAAGTGTTCTACGCCTAATCGGATACCAATAAATAATCGAATATCAATTGATTGATCAAAACATCGAATGGTTAGTAAATCGTACATTCAATGTATTGTACGCTCAATGTGTAGTGTGTTAATAATATCGATGTTTATTTAATCGATTGTGGTTTATCGATATTCAATTTGACATTCAGTTTTACTTAAAAAACAAACCCCTTTTGGAGCACTGTATTTAAAATATTATAGATACTTATTTCAATATATGAAGGAGGAAACTCTTTAAAACTCATGGATGTACTGTGTAGAAAATATCACAATGCAGGCAGTTAAAATTCATATTGAATGTGTATGAATCAATTATTAAAATATAGATAAAATTACTTTACACGTAAAATAATTTTCTTGTATAAATATTCCTGTGAATAATTATTAATCAACTCTTAGAAGTCATAAAATATCGATATAAATATATTGTAATTCTTTTTCTTTAAGTAAGGACGTTTCTTGGCTGCGGGCGAATATTATCAACTGTATAAAATCCATAGACATTATAATCTAACCTTTAGGCTCTTAGAGTTCTGCAGCTGACTGAGCAATCAGTTTGTCTATTAGATTCAATTTACACTGCTGCAATACAGAATGAAAGTTTAACTTCAACGAAAGTGTACATAGGATAATGAGCCTTATGTCAATACAATAAGGTCATAAAGAGGTTTGAGCCAAAGATATTTAAGAGAGCTCTCACTAATCTCGCGCACAATCGGTGGAATATTGTGTTAAACAGTTGCTACAAAGCTCAATATACCTTGTACAATTTCTTATGCATAAGCGTCCATTTCATTCTATGCCAATGCAAATTGAACCTTATTACTATATATCATGTAATCGACTATCGCAGTGGTATTCTGTACTGTAACATCAAATCTAAAACAAAATGTGTACAAACAATTATTGACAATTAATTTATCTACTTCAGTGTTTATTTTTATGAGGTACATATTTTGGCACAGAGAGATTTCTTAAAACTATATTTAATTAATACGTAGGTATATTAATTGTTAGATAACGTTATTTTTAAATTACATAAAACATTTTTCGATGTTCTAAAACTTGTTTGACTGGTCTTAATCGTACGAATCACAGTTTTTGCATTCTCCTAATAACCTATCGTCACGACTACCAATTTTCTAGTTCCTCTTTAATGGAATGAGTTTAAAATCTTATCATACGTAGGCATACAAAAATATGGCAAAAGAAACTATATTTAAGCCTATTCAAAGGAGAGATAATGTGTCAAGTTGTTGCATGCCCTTGTTCCGAGTGAGTGACAACTGGTTGGTGGGGACTGACACTGTCGGTAGCTTAACAAACATAGGGGTGTTCAAATGCTTGTGTATCCATGCAAGCGGGAACTGCCTGGTCCCTCATCTTAAAACAAATGCGCTGCATCGCATAACTAAGTTACACAAAACGAATGCCAACCATGGGACGACTCGATGAGAGACAAGCAAACGGACGCATTTATAATGCAAATCTCTTACGTTATTGATTCAATGTGCACAAAACTATAAACAACTAATATTGCCCTGAACTGACCAATCAAGTAGCAAGCAGTTTGTCCAAGCCATGTGTTTAACACAAAATATATTTGCAGCATAAACTAATAAGCCGTTACAATTATTATTGCTTCGCGGTAAACGCAAATAGTTACCATTCACTATTTATTCTCAGAGTTATTTTGAAAATTATGTCATAAATATACATAAACCACTCCAAAACGAAAAATAGTCCTGTAAAATTCTAATTAAACCTGCTTATCAATAATGTTGTAAAGTTTAAAAACGTTTTTAAAAAATATTCCCATTTACTGTTATAATATGACTCGGTCATTAACTATAGGGGCACAATATAACCACCGACTCCATACAGCAGTCAATCGCGCGGGCTAGTGCCGGCCCCTGGAATATGCGCAGGGGCAGCGCACGACGCCAATAATAATAAATTAAAATAATTCTCAATATCAAATAGTCGCAACTTCGTACGAAACCAGAACGCGCCAGCCTAAATGTGATCCGAGCAAGTCAGGATGAGACATCAGCCCCGACCATTTCATCCCGCAAACCCGGCACGATCACTCTGTAGTTGATGGCAAACCGTATGGAGTTGAGTTATATTGTGCCAGAGGTATGCGAAGATCGAGAAAAGGACGGCGCGTTCGTAGATCAGCGTGTGTTGTGTACGTGTGTGGTAAGGTGCTTGGAGAGGTAGTCGGCGCGCGCGAAGCACTTGCCGCACGCCTCGCAGTGGTAGGGCCGCTCGCCCGTGTGGATGCGCAGGTGCCGCGTCAGGTCGCTCTTACCACCGAACGCGCGCCCGCAGAACAGGCACACGAACGGACGCTCGCCCGTGTGCTTCCTCACGTGCAGCTTTAGGTTCTCTTTAGACCTCACGCATTTCCCGCAGAATGGGCAAGCGAACCTCCTCTCCCTATCTCTCTGTCGGTCATCAGTTTGCATGAAACTCAGGATCCCTGAGTGGGAGCTTGAGCTCTCGTGTTTGCTACTGTCAGCTCGAGACTCGTTCTCAGAACTATCTGCCATCGAGCTTATGCTGGCAAAAGACACAGGAATTCGCCTTTTCTCTTCTGATGCAGTGTCATCGTCTCGTTTGCTTTCGCTTTCAGCGCCTGACGTGCGGCATTCTGTTGAATCATCCACAGTCACCACAGAATCTGTCGGGCCGTTTGAGTCAACGGTGCTGTCTTGTTCAGCATCCCGGACTACATCATTGGCAGGTGATTTAGTAGCATCACTTCTATTCTTTTTCTTCATGGAGAGATCCATTTCACCGCACTGGCCAATCAGAGCCTCATTAGTGCTGGAGACTTGATCGGCGCCTTCTGGTGCATCAGTGTTTTTCGTGTGCAGTCTCTCCAAGGTATGGTTAAGTCGGTGCTTCTTAAAGGATTTTAGATAGCGGAACTGCATGCCGCAAACATCGCAAGTGAACAGTTTGTCGGCAGGGAGCCGAGCCCGATGGTTTTGTTCGCGGTGTTTGACATAGGCAGAACGGTACCTGTAGCTCTGGCCACACTGCTCGCAGACGAAGGGTTTGTCGTCGCAGGGCGCTTGGGAGGCGTGCTGAAGGGCTGCGTGTCGCTCGAGCAGCCAGGCTGAGGGGAACGAGGCCAGGCACACGCCGCAGCGGCGCCGCTCTGAGTGCAGAAGGTGCCGGTTGTGGTACATCATGCAGTCGTCACTGAGGTAGCGCCGCAGCCGACACGCCTGCAGGGCCAGCAGGGGCGACCACAGCGGCAGCGCTGTCGGGCTGCGCGCCGGGATCGGGCTCGGTATACTGGGGGACACGCACGACATGTCCAGGCACATCTGGAACGCAACATGTACACCTATTATATTAACCGATTTTAAAACTGTGACTGAAATTAAAATAAAAAATAAAACATATTTTATACCTGAGTTAATCCACAAAGCGGGGCGGAAACAATAATAAAAGAATAGGTGTGTAATGATTGTAGAGCTTTTATTTGTCAAAATTGTATTTTTACAGCTATGATATGCTTATATTTGTTTCAAGAGTTACAATGATCAACAGCGATGGGTCTCTGTTAAGATTGTTGCAAAATTGACAAAACATTACACCGTTTGATCCTTGATCCGTTCTGATATACTGTAACACTTTTTCAACAAAACTGTACTGCTCTTTGTTACAACATTATGAACTATTAATAATGTTAAGGCAAAACAGATTTTCTCTAATCTAAAATGTCAACAATGTATGTTAAATAAAAGAGCTTCAGGGGAAAACAATTACCGTTTCAATGATAATGAAACGACAACTATATTAAGCTCTATAAATAAAGTGGACCTACGTTATTTGAACTTGTGCTTAACATATTCCATACCAGCATAATATACGAACATTACACTATATCTAAAGAACTTCCTATGACCAAAATGGAAACAGCAATGTAAACATTTTCAATATTTTCTACGAAAACAGAAGCGTCTAAATCTAATCGTATATTATGCTAATACAAATATTAGTCACGAAAGTTTAACTCTAAATAATTTATAATAAACACATTATAATTATTAAAACAAATTGTACCGATATACAATAATTAATACACCTACAGGAACTTAGAAAAATTGCAATATAAGTTCTATATTTAGGTATGCCACTTAAATAAAATGGTAAGTTAAATTAACCAGTCCGCGCTGCAGCGACATCTAGCTCGATCGTGGTGGACGAAACTTAACGATACTATCTAAGACTATACAACACGTGTGTACGCAACATTGGTCATCAACATAATCTAGCACTGGCTGATCACATCACAAGATTGGAATGCGCTAGCTTGGAAACCACCGCCTCTAAACTCACGAGAACCGAACATAGACAGAAAGAGTGCGCAAGTCACATATCATAACGCAACTTACAATTTTCACCATAAAAATTACAGTTTTTCTCTATCTGCTACATACTCTATGTTTAATCCGTGATTTGCAGCCTTTATATAAGTCTTGTATAGGCAAGAGGCACTCTAAATATAAAACTGTGGTCACAATTTATGATAATATAAAAATGAATCTACGTCGTATCTATTTCAACACATCAAATATTTCGTGCTAGTGTTTCCTTAAACGTTATCATGCTCTGTAGGTACTCAGAAAGATACCTACGTAAATTTAAAATATAGATATAATAAAGTTTATCGTCAATATATATAATATCATCATAATATATATAATTTATGTATAATTTATTTGTGCTAACGGCGTGTGAACTCTGCAGGGACGTGGCAACAACTGGCAAATGTTAAAATTTGAATAACTGCACTTGGGGGTTGTATAGATAACCTATTGTTCAAATACCTACTTTATATTTCACTAACAACATTCACCATCGCCTATATACACGTAAATACATACATATAAATCTATTTGAATATCATTACTTTAATAATAAATATTACCTCTGAAAGTTAGGAAACAAAATAGTATTTAAACTGCATTCTGTATTTATAAAAAACTATTTCGATAAAAACACGTACAAATTTGTTAATTCGCATCATTATTAACCATTTATTTATTGCTATTAAGTATTTCTGTAAATTGTAAATATTTAATCTTTCTTAAAATAAGAAGAGGAACATTAATCAAGGTTTCAATATTGCTATACAGTTTGGTAACGTTCGACTCTGACAAAACAAAAATGAGTGCAGCTTTTCAAATAGCAACATTCTGGTGATATTTTTTTAACATTTTATTTTTTTATTGAATTTTATTCATTTCACATCACTAGCTCCGGAAAGTAGCGCATCTACCAATCTATTTATCTAAAATGCATTTTATATATTGTGTGAGTTTTAACAATAGACCAACATTAATTGTTTACTTTCCCCAAGTTATTCTCTTAGTAAATTCGCTAAACTTTACACAGGAGTATTCGAAATTATGTATTCAATATCCAAACAATCATATCATTGTCAATTAATGTTTAAATTTACTTAAAACGTTGAAGATAAAACGTGGAAAACTTCTATAAACATTGCAATAAATTGAAGAGAAACATTTATCAAGGTGGCCAAGTAAATTTAAACATTTATGTAGGTATAAACTTCAGCGCTTAGACATTACATAGAATTGACTGGTTTATGGAATGTAAATTATATTGGTAGTAATTTTTCAAATCACTTTGATCAATATAAAAGCACACATTCTCATCAACCGTGTTAATGAAAAATCATATAAAGGTGCTGACGAATTTGAGCATCCACTTGTAAAGAGCATTCTTTTGAATGTAACATTACAGAAAGAGCGTTTTAACGAGCATTTCTTCGAGAATTCTAAGAAAGGAAAGTATATTTGCTCCATTGTTTTGTCAATTCGCAATATTCCGTTTTTCTCAAGATAATATTTGGCAATATAAGTGGCTTGGATGGTTGTCAACAGATTTGAAAAAAAAATCTCAAATATCTGTTACAGGTAAACACTCAGGTCCGTCAGCACCTCAATATATGGAAAAACAAGTGATACATTACCACGTGCTGGAAGAGTTTGCACTAACTCTACCACAATTGAATAACTAGTTATTTTAACATTCCATACAAACGGAATAAACTTAGTTATAAACGTATTTGACGTGCCCCGGTACTCAAGGAGAACACACAACACAATTTAGACATCTCTATATTAAATAGCTCATTATAATTTACCTAAATTTGAATCGGTGGCATCCGCTATAAAGTAACCAAGTTGAAACTGGAATAATTTTGGAATGTTAGGCGTTTGCAATCCAAATAGGTATGTATACAGAATTAAAATAAGTACTTTAGAATATACCAAAATTATATCAACCGCAGCATACTGGCCTTAATTTCTACACGATGCCTAAACAACTTATAAATAGCAATGAGATCTGTTGCAAAATTTTTTGTTTCCTAATTCAATTTCCCCGAAATAACGCGCCTTTTTGCATATTTTTAATTCAATAAAATTTTAATTTTACTTTTTCATAAAATAATTGATGTATCAATTTTCATTTTAATCAGCTAACTTTTAGATATTGTCACGTAAAAAAAGAAATTTAAAACATTATATTAATGTCGCCGAGATTTAAGATCTCAACTGGGTGGCCTAAATACCTAAATATTTGAAATCACATCTTGAGATCGCATCATAAACTCCCAGATGTAATACCCTTACTTGTATTAGACATATATCACAGATCTTTTTCTATATTACCATAATACTTTCTTTTGAGTGAACCCAAAGTTATGAATCACTAAATATCTAATTTACAATCAAAGATATTTAAACGCCTAAATTCGAAACGAAACGTTTAAGTATAAAGAATATTTTAATATCCTACTTTTAAATATATATAATTTAAAATTTAAAAGTGTCACGACAAATATTTTCTTCGTGAAATTTATATTATTTTTTTATAAAAATGATATGTACCATGACCGAAAGATTATGAAATGATTAGGCAGTTTAGACTATCTACTAGAACATTACATAAACCGTTTAGGTCGATTAAGATAATGATATTATTTCTACCAAGAGTAGCGTGCTCGAGCCGGAGTACCGAGGGCAGGTCAACCACTCTATATGTATAAGTAATTTTCCATTGAACTTACAGACTATTATGAGCCAACATCCAATCAGTTCCAAATCAAAGCTTTAATTTTCTCGGTTGTGATGTCGAACGGTGAAACTTTGTATAACAAACAAATATTTACTATAAATTCTGAGCCCGAAAAATAATGGCTATTTCTAAAATTGTATTTAAACAAAAAATATGGTGGTGTTGAAAAATAATTAATCTTACAATCAATAAAATATCCCTGTATTTGACTCTGTTGAATTTATTGAACACAGCGATTATTGTGTGGAGTTTCAAACTCTGGGCACATGCGTTACGACCGAAGCTTGAAGTGACTGTCTGATTACAATTTAACAAACGGAGAAAGGGATCAGCCGACAAATTCTAAGTACGGTGCTCAGATAATGAACGTCGATACACGCAGGGTTTGAAACTGTTGAATAATCATAAATCAATGTGGTTTGCAGTATGAAAATAGATAGAAAATTTGATATATATTTATATGTTTATACCATGCCTCTTACGTGGTGTGGCCCCGGCAGAAGTTTGCGAGTAACGGTTATTAAAATAAGGAGAGTCAACAGAGCGGGCACACAGCAAGAGGCATAGTATTCGGACAGAACGGAAATAGCGCTTAAAGCTTTGATTCCCATGATCACATCCACAACCCTCCCCGTGTATACCGAATACAGAACTACCGAAGCGTTTACATTCTAATAAATTTCCTAAAAATCCAATATTATCAAACTATATGTTATTTACATTTATATGTCATAATATTGCTTTTGAATTACCTCAGGGGAGCGTGCGTCGTTAACTTCGAAAGACATAAAATGAGTAAAAATCTCAAATCCCTAACTTCTTAATTGTTACCAACTATGTTGAGTGCAATCTTCGTATGGTCTCTAATAATTATAATTAAAGCACTCTTAATCAATCTTTAATTTTGTTTATAAAATCAACTCTGACAAGATACTACTATAATAAATATGCAAAGTCTCTAAAGATTATGCCAGCTCTAAATTAATATGATATTTTACAATTTCTTTATTTAAATTTCGATAATTTACGAAATTGCAACCAATACGACGTTGTAAAAACATTTTTGTACAAGCAAATTATACTAAAAAGCATTTGTTATTATCTCGACTTGGAAATTATAATTAAAGGATTCATACTTCTCTAGCTAACTTTGGCTATGCCGTCTAATGACCCATCGTACAATGAGTTTACGTTTTACTATAAACTAAAGCATAAAGAAAGCACCTAACGTTCAAAACTCTTAAGAAAACGAAGCAAACAAAACATTGGAACCGAAAATGTTCAAATAAATTTAAGAAGTTATCAACTTTAGTGTCTCAATTATCTATTAGTGAAATATCAAATATTATTCATATCATTCAGATCACAGTTGCGGCGTTTTAATCACATTCTTAACTAATTACAACATATTGTCCTCCATTTGTTCATTCAACTATCACTTCTGCACACCATTGACTATTTCCAATAATAGTTTGTATTAGTGGCTAATATATCGTGGAAGGTAAATTGTGCACTATGGGGGAGCCAGACTCATTGATGCGGGCTTTCTTCCTCCGTGTCGACGGGACTCGGCGAGAGAAACTTGCGAGCGTACTTTGGATAGTGTGTCTTTTCGTGGGCTTTCAGAATTGTCGACCGCGAAAACGTCTTGCCGCAGAGACCGCAACGAAACGGCCGTTCACCTGTAAGACGTAGTACTGTATAGTTTGTCACACACAGACAAAAAACATTAAGTATTATTTTCATAAATTACTAATAAAAAACATGGCATAAAAATCAGTCTTAAATTGAACTGTCTGTTTGAGGATAACGTGTTTAATTGTTCTAGTTATATATCCACTAAGACTGCTATGTAACTAAAGAATCCTAAACATAAAAGTTATGAAAGAATATAATAAATAAAAATTATAAGGGAATAGAAATGACCAATAAAAAATGTCGCTTACCTGTGTGAACTCTACAGTGATCCTTCATATGGTGCCTTAACTTAAACGCCTTTCCACAGAATTCACACTTAAACGGCCGGTCGCCCGTGTGCACAGGTAAATGTGTTATTAAAGATGACACGTCCGGAAAACTCTTGCCACAAAACTTGCACAGCACTACGTTGCCGGGCTCAACCGCTCCTATGTCCAGCTCGATGGGAGACTCCTCAGCGTGCATGCTCATGTAAGTGGGGTCACTGAACTGCCCTATCATGGGCAAACCGAGAGGCCTGCCCAGCAGCGCGTCGCGGTACTTCAGCGTGTCAAGCGTATGCGTCGTCAGTATGTGCCTCGTCAGTTTGCTCTGGTGCGGGAACGCCGCCCCGCAGTGTATGCAAGGATACCCCCTCTCCCCTTCATCAATTCGCCCCCTACCGGACCCATCGTACTCCTGCAACCACAAAAAAGAACATCAACTTCTTTTTTCTTGTTCCATTTTACACGGACCAAACTGTGTGCAATATCTCTACCACTACTTTCTAAATTGAGATGCAGTCTCGGTATATTTTTAATTTCCACTATCTAATTAAGAAGTTGACGCTCATTTTTGCCCAAATAATGTGCAGGAGTGACCCGGGAGCCGGCTACGCGTAATGCCTTGTTGTTTAGCAACGCGCACGCGTACTGAATCACAGATTCGTACAATAACGTATGCATGTAATATGGCCAAAATTTAAAATAAAAAAACTGCCCAAAATAAATATCAAACAAAATGAATGGATATAAAAATGATGGCCAACAAAATGAAGGTCAACTTCTTGACAGCAAGGCATAATACTCGATGTTGAAAGTAGCGCAGCATATCAAACAAGCATGCGTGTAACAAATCAATTTACACATAAAACACCAACAGCCAAATTAAACATTAGCTCTTAGAGCGGGGTTCTTCTAGACCATGTTAGTCACTTTGTTTAGTGCCACCACTTACATAAGTAGGCAAACATACAACAACGATAATTTACCTACACATATAATGTTAATGAAGCAGCCACACATTACATTTAAATACTAGAAAACTTAGAATTTTGACAAGCACAAGGTAATCCAATCATTAAATTAATTGGGCAAATATGCAAGTCTTATTAAGTTACATCATTCTTAACCAGTAGGCATATAAGCCTGCAAAAATAGATACCGTTTGTTATTGAAAAATTTATATATAAACATCAATTATGATTGTGGAAAAATAATGAAACATGCAAGACAACACAGATCTATCATAATATACAGAGACATTTATTACAAGCTACTTACATACATACATGCATTATAATCTACAACATATTTAGGTACAATCAGTGAATGTCACATTATAAAAATAAAGTAACTTTCACTAGTATACAAGAACACAATATAAAGTAAAAAATAAGGCTGTTTTCTTTCTGAGTGTTTGCCTTATTCATTATATAATGATAAATTTAAACAAATTAAAAACTCAGTCATCTAATGAATTTTAAACTGAGTTTTAAAACATGAATATTTTTAATCTGTTAGCAGTTGGTTTACTGTCAACTGATTCCGGTGGCAGTTAAGGGTCAAAATATTGCCTTTGTAATCTGTATTTAAGATGTAATGGCATGACATTTGTCTTTAATTTGACTTTATAATATTATGTACTTGAAACTGTGTTCTGTCTACTTAAATCTACACACTTATATACACAAAATATATCGTTTACTCACAGATTCATGCTGCATTCGGTACTCTGATGATGTTTCGCCACCAACTTTATCCTCATTGCTCCTATCCCAGTCAATTTCTTTCTTTAATGACTGAAAATTGTACAAACACAGATTAGTTAAAAGAATTGAAACTATACAATGAAATAAAATATGAGTTTTTGATATTACTTATTAAGAAATACCATTATTTTATCTTGTTATAGGTACTATTGATTTATTTCCTAAAAAAAAATAGTTGTAAAAAGTAGTTTTTTGACAATATCAATTTTATTTAATTTCTCATAGTAAAACTATAATTTAAATATCTAGCATTATTATTTAATCATGAGAAACGAGGATAAATATCTGTCAGTTTTCAATCTCAATTTTAGCATCATGCCTGATCAAAACTAAATGTGTTTTACTTTCTTTATACAACAATAACAATACAACTGCCTATGTTATGTTTAGCAATGGTATTGAATAAAACTTTACTATAAATAATTTATAATACATACCAAGGGTACTTGTTGCACAGGAGGCAATCCTGAGGGCCCTGCTATAGGTTCACTCCTGGGGCTTGGCAATGATGCATGTGAAGGGTGTGTCAATCCAGGATGAGATATAGTGTTCAGAACACTTAACCGCTGCTCCACTGGCGAATAGTGGGCGCCCAGCACACTGCTACTGCTATGACTGTTTATAGTCATGTTTAGTCCTGAAAAAGTAAAAAAAAATAAAATGATTAAGATTGTTTTTTCTTGAACGTAATTCTGTAGGTAAATGTAACAAAATATTTCTTACATATACTGTATTCCAGCTTTTAATATATATATTATTTCGTTTTTTAATTGTATTTTTGAATAAATAGAAAAGTTTACCTATTTTCAAGTAATTGTGCCAAAGAACCACATCAATGTTGATGGATTGAACCAATTTTGTGTGACCAAATTCATTTTTAGGTTCATTTTAATCTGCATTGTATGTTGTATTTTAAAGCCTTCTATATTATATTTAAATTTAATAAAAATAAAATTTAAAACATTGGTACGCGAGCCGCAAGCGTGACAAACATGACAAACGTCAAAACTAAATGTCAAAACAAAGCAGTGTTGTACAATTACTTTAGTTAAACTAATAGTCGATTTAAGTAATTTAAAAAATTGTTTCTTTTCACTAAATTTTATCCCGAATTTTGTGATAATAAGTGCATAGCTACATTTCTGATTTTTTTTTTCATTTGGGAATATTTTCATCGTCATACAAACAGGTAATTAAAAGCCCAATTTACTTTTAATTATGTTGTAATTAAAACAAATGGATTTACATGTATGTTCAAATTATACTTTACTGTGTGATTTTAACAAAAACTTACATTGACCGTTTTGATGTACACTATTTTTTTTTTAGTAAAAGTATCTCTATGTAAGACATGAGATCAGTAAATAAATACATATTTAAGTATGAAATTATTGATACGTACCGATATTTTCATTTTGTGCTCCATTTGATCTAATCGACACCGTGTCATCTTCTGGTGAAGACGATCGCATGGGCTCATCAGGAGGTTCATCTTTTGGGATAGGAGGGTGTGACAAGGTTGGGGTCTCGCCCGTGATGTCTGACCTAAATCGCCGCACTGACAGTAACGGCGATATCCTCGGAGGCGACGCCTCAGGCATTTCTCTATGATCACGGGTTTCTCGAGATTCCCGTAAGTCCCTTGGATCCCGAACCTCCCTCAAATCTCGTGAAATGTCTCTAGATTCTCTGGATTCTCTGTGTTCCCGCAGTTCGCGGGGATCCCTCAAGTCACGAGGGTCTCTTGTTTCTCTAATATCTCGCGATTCCCTTAGATCACGAGGTTCTCTTTGTTCTCTATCTCTGTGTTCTCTTGATTCTCTCGACTCTCGAGAATCTCTTGAGTGACTTTCTCTGGCGTGAGTTTCTCTGACGTCACGGGTTTCTTTGTTTTCTCTCTCACGGACTTCCCGTGAGTCTTTCAGTTCCCGTCGTTCTTCTTTTTCCCTATGATCTCTGCCGTCTGCCTTCTCGTGTGATTCTGAACTTTCCCTCGTTTCTTGTGGTTGGCACTCTTCCATTGGTTCTTGAACTTTTCTTGTTTCAATGCCGGCTGCGCTTAGGGTAGTCATCTCAGCAAGACCTTTCACCTAGAAAATGCAAAAAAATAATAATTAGCTTTAAAAACGGAGATGTATGATAAATACACAGTATAGTTTTAAAAAATAGGCGCTCTAGTGCCTGCAGTGGTAGCTGGGTAATTGAAATAGACTTGACCTTAATACTTTATTTACGATGTCGCACAAGTTAAAAAGCAGTCGCGGTTAATGTTTATACGCACAAGTTGTGTTACAATTAGAAATATTCTAAAAGGTTACATATTGGTAAAAGATATGATTCAAGTTTAAATCACCTGAAGGCTCTCGGCAGTTTTAAGGAGAGCAGGCAGTTGACAGTACTGGACGTTGACCTCGCCCTTGTACATGAAGTCGACGAGGGTCCTCAGCTCCTCCAACCCCACGTCCTTGAGGATCACGATGGGATGACGCGACGGATGATCAACAAACAGAGATCGGAAGTACGATGAACACGCAGACAGCACTACCTGAAAACATATTAGAATCTCTGTTATTTTTAAAAGAACTTCCAATAAACAATGCCTTATTAAGAAAGAATGAGTTTTATTTTAAGTGATAGGTAGATAAGTGATAAATGTTACAAACTAATTTTTCCCTAGGGAAACTAAATACAAAATAGAGAGTCGATATAACATTCTTTAAACCGTGAAAGCCTGAAAAAAGAAATTTGCGTTTCTTTTCGATACCTCTTCTATCTACCTACTCATTGAAATCAGAAAGATGTAGGGCTCACGTTGGCTTGAGTTACGACTGACTCACTTACTGGCATGGGAAGGAATCGTTTGGAAAGAAATTCCTAGGCTGAATAGGTACCTACTTAAAAGTTTACTTTTACATTTTGCGTATGATAATAATTGCAGAATACTCATACTGAGAAAACGTTTCGTTCGTGCCGTGTCTCTGCTAATCGGCAGTAAGTTGGCCTTTAAACGAGTTGATTCTTATTCTAATGCACTTCCATTAACTTAAAATTCGATGGATCGGAATAGGTACGCATTAAACCCTAGCTATAGCTTCAGAGAAACGGTTCGTGTCAGTGATGAAAGTGTTTCCTTGTAGCGCCGATTAATGGCTAGTAAATCTTATAACGGATTGACTGCATAATTTCAGAGCTGTCGTCCACTGAACTGATGTTTAACTTACGACCAGTTGCTAAGACTTAAATTATGTCTGCATTTGTCGAATGCTTGGTACGACCAAATGGCTTTATAAGGTGTAGGTACCTATCTAATGGTGTCTGTGATAGATTTGTTCTATAGATCTCTTCACAAATGGAGTTAAATTTTATAAAAAATTGTTTAATATACGAGGGGCGTTCAATGTATTCTCGGTATCGGGGTGATTTGCTAATAATGTGGGTAATCTAATTATCTCATTTACTAATGACACTATCTGAGGGTATAAATATAAAATTTCACTTATTTACGTTCATTAGTTTTCTAATTATCTGCAGTGAAAGACGATCAGAATGACTGACGCTACAATGATTAAGAAAATCGAGCATCGCGCTGTTATAAAGTTCCTCACTAAGCAGGGAAAAAGTCAAAATACCATTCACGAAGAGATGGTTGCTGTTTACCAAGACTCTGCTCCGTCGTTATCCACCGTTCAAAAGTGGTCAAGTGAATTTAAAAGAGGCAGAGAAAGCATTGAAGACGACCCTCGCTCGGGTGGGCCCGTAAGCGCCCTCACTGAAGAAAATGTTAAAAAAGTGGAGAAATTGGTACTTGAAGATACCAGAATAAAAATCGGGATGTTAGCAGAGATGATTAACCTATCTGTGGGTACCATACATGCAATCCTTCATGACCATCTTAATCTCTCAAAGGTCAGTGCAAGATGGGTGCCGAGAATGCTCACCGCGCCTCAGAAACAAGTGCGAGTCGAGTGCTGTAAGGAGTTTTTAGAGCTCTGTGGAGAAGATCCGTCGAGTATTTTCGACCGGCTGGTTACTGGAGATGAGACGTGGGTTCATCACTATGACCCTGAGAGTAAACAGGAGTCCATGCAGTGGGTGAAAAAGGGTGCACAGCCTCCGAAGAAGTTCAAAGTCACCCCTTCAGCCGGAAAAATAATGGCTACGGTCTTTTGGGATTCTAAAGGTATTTTATTAATAGAATACACTAAAAAAGGTGAAAGCATCACAGCAGCATCATACGCAACCACTTTGCGTAATTTAAGGGAAGCAATTAAAGAAAAGAGGCGAGGAAAACTCACAGCGGGGGTGTTGCTGCTTCATGACAACGCGCCGGTTCACACGGCCCGCGTGGCGAAGGCTGCTGTACGGGACTGTGGCTTCGAAGAAATTAATCATCCTCCGTACAGTCCAGACTTGGCCCCCAGTGATTACTACCTATTCCCGAATTTGAAGAAAGATCTTCGTGGAAAGCGATTTTTCGACGATGATGAACTGAAGGTAGCAATTAATACCCATTTTGAGGAGAAGCCAGAAGAATATTTTTTACAAGGCTTAAAGAAGCTAATTCCTCGATCTAACAAATGTGTTGAGGGTCTAGGGGACTACATTGAAAAATAGAATTTTTCCAAAATTTTCCGAGTTTTCTTTCATGCCTATACCGAGAATACATTGAACGCCCCTCGTATCTTCTACTGAATCTTTCTACCTAAGCATAAATAATTAAAAAAAATGATCAAATTTATTTTGTTTCTTATCCTTTATTTTTCCCAGCCAAAGTAATACCTCTTTTGTCATTTTTTTCAGACATGCGGAAGTTTCAGAATTTGACAATGTTTTACGAGTTACCCTACCGTTAGATCCTCTTAATTAATGATATATCTAAAATAACGCCATGCCCCTTTCGGAGAGTATCATGTTACTCTGTATTTAGTACTCCTAATAATTTGGATCGTCTATAAGATCATATGTATTACAATGTATATATTTATGGAAGATAATAAAAGATTAACAACTAACAACTTCCTCTGCCTATTAAGAAACAAAAGAAGACGAACAAATTCGGCAAACGAGATCGTGTTCCTACAACTAATTACGATGCAATAAATATTAATTTAATCCTAATGTTAATGCAGTTAAGTACGTATTGCATTGTTAATATCCTGTTAATCGTGTCATGCATAGTGACATAATGCGGTTTGTTAGAAATCTTATTTGAATAACATAATATTATGGTATGATGAACGATTTTCCTTGATTACTTTTTGTAGGTATTAATTAGTTCATTGTTTTATTTCATCATCATCACAATGTCACCCCTTGTCGAATGCTAAACTAATGAAACCCCATGTTATCAAATCTTATAACTCCAAACTCCAACCTTGTTTCGTGGAGAGAAAATCATCAAATTACTTCCCAGAACTCCTGCTTTGCAGATAGTGTTACACTCTTACTGACTGAAATCCCCCTGCCCCTCTTACCTTCTCCTGCTCAAGGCCGAAGCAGCGGTACCGTATTGCGCTTAACTTGCGACCCCGGCTACTATAACCCCAACCTGAGCTCCAAATTTGATAACGCATAGGACTCAATCTCACATAGGTATAGGATAAAAAAAATCCTTACAAACTTACTAAACTAGCCACCGTTACTTACCTAATATTAAGTAACAAAGGCATAGCGATAATAACGTAAATACATCTTGAAAGCGCTGATTAACACTAGCTAGTAGAACAAAGTAATGAAATGAGGCATAACGAGAGGTTTCTACACGTGCCAGGTTGAACTGAAGTCATTATAAGAAGGTATTTGTATGGAATCTCTGTCGTTCGCTCAGCGTCAGACGAGGTGGCGCACGCCTGCCCGAACCCTCTACAGGCCGCATTAGGCCTAACTCGAAGTTCAGTTCAAAGAAGCTAAGAAAATGCGACTGCCTTGTGTTGGCTTCGGGCCCACCGCGAGTCGTTGGCGTTTGGGCCCCTTCTTGAACAATCCGGCCCTACGCTTAGTGAATGCATGCGTCAATGCCAAAGTACACGTGATAAATCCAAATTAATAGGTATTATAAATGCGAAAGAAAATCTGTCTGTCTGTCTTTTTATTCACGCCTACTCGTAAACTACTGAATCGATTTCTGTGAAATTTGGTGCAGACATAGTTTGGAACTCGAGGTTTTATACCAAAAATCTGCAGGAAGTCACTATTCCGCGCAAACGGAGTTGCGGGCAAAAGCTAGTTTATAATAAAATCGAAAGTGTTCTTCATGCTATAATGTTTACAAGTCATGAAGGGTATCAGATCGTTAATGATAAGGATTATGTCTTCAGTCATATCATTTGTAGCTATCACTTAATTATATTATTGTCTAAGTTTTAGGTACCTACAGTCTAGGTATTTCATTTTCCAAATTCTAAGTAATAACATGGAATACCTTTGTATACTATTATTATGCTGTACCTACCTATCATCAGTGACAGTCCTACACAAAGACAGTCGTCAATACAAACCTTGGAAACCTTGCTCAAAGAAATTACACCCTTAATTGTTTCACATTGAGGGCTTTAAAGTTTATAAGCATAACCGAATTTAATGGCAACAATAAGTCCCAAATTTTAGAATCTCTAAGTATTTTTATTTGGAAGAGAGGAAATCATCGATTGACCGCTCTTGCCCTGTGCCAGACTCTTACTGACTGAAACCGGCCCATTCTTTCTCCAGACCAAGCCGCAGTACCTACATAGTTCTAATCATTTGAGGATTACTAATAGAAATATCACAATCATTTAGCTGTTACTGTCGCTCGATTTCACTAGCTGCTATATGCTTAAAGATCGTAGAGTGATGTTTTATAGTCCTATATAACCTTCCTCGTTAAATGGACTAACAGACACAAAAAGAAATGTTCAATTCCAGTCAGTGGTTCCGGAGGTTAGCGCGTTCAAACAAACAAACACACTCTACAGCTTTATAATATTATTAGGTATAGATTGGTGCCTATTTTTTTATTGTAATCATTGCAAGTTGTTTACCTTATGAGCCCTAATGGATGCACCCTCGGAGCAGGCAAGCGTGACGTCGACCAGGCTCTCGTCGTGCAGCAACTGGCTGAATACTCCCAGCAGGTTGCTCTGATGATTGTTCCACCTTAGGCAATAGTGCTCACTTCCCATGTCTGAGCTAGCTCCCGCCGCTGGAACATATAAGTTTTAATTCTAAATTATTAGAATAATAATTGTCCTAAATATTCTCTCTTCCATCGCCTACATTATTATCATTATCAGCACTTTTTCATCCACTGTTAGACATTTTATGCCTCTCCGATAGCCCGCCACAGAGCTCAATCTTATTCTATTTGTAATTATGTTCACTCATGAATATGTTTTCACCTTCATCTTAATTATTATTACAAAATCCTTTTATAAAATTACCAAAGATGGTAATTTTTTTTTGAAAAATAACGCTTTCGAAAACATTCACCACTAAACTCGCCACTTCTCATATTTAGGTTGACCTAAAGATTGTTCTAGATTTATTTAAGTACCTTCAAACTGCATAAATTAACTTAAAAATTAATAAGAAGTTACGTAAGGAAACGGTCTTTGTGAAAATTGAAAAGAGATTGTTATGAACGATATGAATATGAGAAATACATTAGATAATTGTCAAAGAAACCAAGTTGCAGAATTAATAATAATTAGACAATTTTTATTAATAAAGAACCGGGACATACCTACTTATAGTCTACCCTAAGAATATTTAAAGTAATTTCATCGACTTTGAATTCGTTTATGTTTAATAAAAATGACCTACACCAACATTATGATACAAAGTTGCACTCCCGAAAAATCCACACTAAGATTGTCAATCAAAACAAATAAAATAATCTCGAAATATTTCGCATCCGCTTCAGAACAGAGATAAATGTGAATTTAAAAAAACATCACGTGGATGAGTCTATGTATGGCAATGATAACAGATTGTGCTGTGCACCTATATAATATATGTAAAGACTACATACTAAAATCTGTAAGTACCTACATGTCGTTAAGGCTAGCCTCCGCTACACTTCATAGCGGTGAATAAAAATAATTGCGGTAACACGGGTTTTTACTCCTTATTATTTGCTAATGCACAAAACATGTGCTTCGAGTATGTCGTTAGGTTCTAAGTACTTACAAATTTTAAATTAAGAAACTATTTTGTTTTTCGTCAAAAAAGTATTTATGTTTCCACGTCTCTATAGTGCCAGTTGCATAGTCCCAGCTCTAGTGCAGTACTTAGGTAGCTATATAGGTAGGTAGTTAGTACTTAGTTATCGCTACACGTGGATATTTACGTCTGCTACAGACTTAGCCGTTATCAATTTTAAAGGCCTATTTTCAACACCAGTCACGACTGATTATTCATTTGCCGCTTATTAACTTATACATACAATACCTAAGTACACATACAACATGTTAAATCATCCACGAACCAACATATAAATACCGACAAAAGGCATTGTGTCTAGGCATACTACTAATTTATATGTGAACATAAACTGTTCAGTCTGCGACCTCGGAAACATCATGGAATAATATAAATTAATTTTGTTGCAAACAGCCTTGATAGGCGCTTTGAAATGTTACATTTAATATAGCAATCGGTGATATCCTTTGAGAACATTCAAATATTATATTTAATGACTTAAACGCGTTTTCACTTTGATTGTTTAACGTGTTTTTTTAGGAATATTCTGAATCAAACGTTAGTTTAGGTAGGTACGTTAGGGCAACATAAGCAGATACAACTTGAACTTGAAATAAAATTTCCTGCTGCACCCGCCGCTAATTATAACATAAACCTACCTACCCTGCGAGCAGCAGCCGGAACACTAAGATTTGCTAATAAGTACAAAACGCCACTTATATATTATTTTTTATTCTGTGATTACTGCTTCGCGCCTACATGCGCGAAGATAAATATAGCTGCGAGTGTACCTAGTAGTTAAACGTAGGTGTGCGCACACGCGTGCGGCCGCGACGCAGTCAAGATCAAGGGCGCACGATTGCGCAAGAGTTGGCGGTCGCACCGCACTGCAACTCGGTGTGATGTCATCGGTCCGTCTGTCTCCCCCCACTCCTCGTTTCTCGCATCACACGCTCGTTGTAAAGGCCGCGGACGCGGAACATTCTATTTTAAATTTTTGACCGTACGTTTTGTGTTTAGATCTTTTTTTGCAAAAGGCTAAATCCTTTTCCCATCGCTCCCATCAGTTCTCAGAAAACGTCATATCATTGTTCTAGACATTTTAAATGGCTACGTATTATGAGGCACAGGCTCGCTGTATTGATGGTATCTTGAACAATTTGAAGTAATTTTCAGGACAGATAAACTGTACCTATTCTGTGTCACTTCCTGCTTATATTTCCTTGTCACAAATGGCTTAAAACTAAAAGATAAATATAGACCTACCGCAAACTCAATTTTCGTAAGTTTTTATGGAATTTTTCATTTATCTAGGATTTAGGCATCTTTATGATAATACATAGCTCCAATCTATCATATTATCAGGACATTTTGATGATATAAACGGCTCTGCAATCTTGTGACCTTCCTTAAATGCACTTGATAAAAATGCAATAGATTACTGATAACACGCTACGCAGGAGTTTTGATGTTATCTCTTTAGATAAAATCGACTAATGGCACGAATTCGTGCGTTCTGTTCATAAATTATATCAGAGTAAAAATCTAGGATATCCAATTTAAAATCTAGTTTAACGCTACGTCGTCTTTTGTTATTCATTGGCTTTTCTTTACTGGGTAAATCATTTGGTAAATAACAAAAACATTTTTTTTTTTTTGATGATGGTAATATCGTCAAAATAAAATCCTTATAAGCAACTTTAATGAGGTGTTTATTTCGCAGTAAACCTGTCATGAAGTTAAAACATTATCAAAGTAACAAGATAATATCTGCCAGTGGGGTAATTGTTCACTTGTAATTTTTACAATACTTATTAATTTTGATGAAACTGAAAACCTCCTTGAGGAACACATTGAAGTATCTAAGTCATGTATCACGAGATTTCGGGAGCGATAAATCGATTTAGCTTAATTTTTAGAAAATGTTAAAAAAACACATGACATACCCGACGACATCTTCTAAAAGTTTCTACTCAATGTCTTTAAACTGAAAGAAAAATGTGCTTTAAAAGCATGTATTTCTATTGAAAACAAAAGAATCTTCTCTAACTGGACACGACGTTTTACTCAACGCACCGGGCCTACTCCACACAAGTTAAGTCAGTAATTAGTTGTTGTTCAATGAACATATATTTGAACAAATTATTTCTGCCGACTTCTTTGTAGTTCATGATTATAGTTAGTCGTATATTACCCAGAGAATATCTATGTATTTGCTAGTAAGTATTAGTGTATTTTTTATTGTTTTTAAGTAGTATTAGACTGTTCTGTTCGAATAGAAAAGTACACTATTCAATTTTAATTAATAAAAGTTTTAGGTCCCTATAGTAAATTTAAAGTTATTAATTGCGGCCTAATACACAGAAGGGTTGTTATTGTTTTGTTTTTTATATGTAGTACAGAGATAGGTCGCGGTATAAAGTTCAAAGAGCTAATAAATATCTATTCACGTTGGCAAAATTCTTAAACCATAATATAATGTAAAATGCATAGGATTAAGGTTAACTTTATTAACCTGTTATAAAACGCCCTAAAATATAGCAATTATCATTATATTTGGGTTATAAACACTCTCTACTTGAAATTTTTAGTATTTATCTAACTTTTTTTTGTGTAGCTAAAATCTTCTGACTCTGGCTGATTTAAAATCCTTTTGTTCCTTCTCATGCCCGGCTCTATTGGGGCCTCTGTGGTGGTGTAAAAGCTCACATATACATGGACTTCTGGAAATTTGGTACAGACATAGTTCGGAACTCGAGAGAGGACATAGGATATTTTTTATACCAAAAAACTACAGGAAGTCACTATTCCACGCGAACGGAGTCGCGGGCAAAAGCTAGTACTACATTAATTATTTACTGTCGACGGATTTTTTATTCATTCCTATATTTTTTTTGGTGATATAAGTAATAGAGATACCTAACATAGCAAAAAGTTTTATGCCTAATGATTTTTTTTAATGATGTCTATCGCATTAAATTGTTACCACAAAACAGCTAACGCTTTTTTTACGCACAATGACAATAAAAAACAAACCTAACCTAACCTAACTTCTTAAGTCATGTCCGATTGCCGTCCTATCTACTTTTTGGTCAATTATGAGGACTAGGTATATACTAACATGAATATTTTTTTGTGACATGTCGGTTAAAGAGCAGACGGTATACCTAATGGTAAGCAATCTGCGCCGCCCATTGGCAGCCGTAACAACAGAGGAGTTATGAGTGCGTTGCCGATCTTTTGGGGGTTAGAGATTTGGGAGATTTAGGTATTGGAGAAGGGAAGGATTGGGCCTCCGGTAACCTCACTCACACGAAGAAACACAACGCTGTGGTTGCTTGTCGCCGGTTTTCTGTGAAACCGTGGTATCACTCAAGTCGAGCCAACCCATTTGTGCCGAAGCATGGCTCTCCCACACTTAACATAATACAAATTCAAATTATATGAATGTATAACACAAAACCAAAATCATTACATCATTGGCCTAAAAGTGACCACTGCTGACCAAGGGCCTCTTCTCACACGGAAAAGGTTTTAGTTGACGCTTCCTTAATGTAGATTTGGGATATCAAACTTTTAATGAGAAATTATAAGTCCAGCATTTCTCTTGTCAGTGACGTGTGCATAAGAAGATGGCGCCTTAACCTCCGGATCACCGCGACTAGCAAAACTAAAACCATTACTTCAATAATTCCTACCTGAATATAATGTATTTTTTATTTCTAAACTCTTATTCTATAATATACATATATAATACTTTTATATTAATAAAACAACTATGATTATTTATACGCCACTGACATACAGTGAAGGAAAACATCGTGAAGAAACCTGGATTTATAATTTCTAATTATAAGTCTGAAATCGTCAATACGCCTTGAGCAAGCGTGGTGATTAATGCTCAAAGCTTCTGCGCGTGAGAAGAGGCCTTTGCTCAGCAGTGGGCACTTATAGGCTGATGATGATGATGATTTATAAAGTCTTAAGTATAATATAACAAAT